CATGTGCAGAAGATCATTTACGACAAAATTGGCACGTTTTTAGATAGTCCAAAAAGAGTTTTACGACAAGCCGGCGCTTTGCGACAATATGAGTCAGCAAGTTCCGGACAGAAAACCGATCTGTAGAGACTCGTCGTTGGAGATTTTTTTTTTTTTTTTTTTGGAGAAAAGGCGAAAACTAATGCGCGCGTGGATGTCATCCATACAATTAAGTCGGTGTGGCCTTAATACCATATAAGCATATCTCTCCAGTTCACTCTTATATCGATTGAAAGTGCATTAACCTCCCACTGTTGTCTTGTATGGTTTGACATTTAATACAAAAATAAAGGCATGTCTGGATAGTCTGAAGTAATTTAATCATTATTGGAAAATGTATTACTCCCTGTATTATGAAGAAATACAAGAACCAATTGAATTGCTTATGAGATTTTTTTTGGCTGTTAAGGCAAAATAAAAAAAAATGCTGTAGTTCATGCTAATTTTTTTTCCTGCTTATGATGACTTGTTTTGCAGATACGATTGTCATGAAAGTTGTTTACATTTCCTAGTTTTGCAATGTTTTGAATTTCTGTTCCAGTTATAGTGTAGAATACTTATCTTGTTGGCGTGTCAAGTGACTTATTCACAAGATATTGTTTGTTGGTGGTGTGTTTTCTGTTTGTGTATTTTGACATTTCATGGATGAAATCTTTACACATGTGCAGATTATTATCATACTTCTCATATAAAATCATTTCTGTAATATTCATAATCACACATATCCAGTTTTGGGGGCTATGATGGAAGTGTCCATATGGGTCTAGTGATCTATAAACCGATGGAAAACCATTTGACTGAAACTTAATTGACAACCTAAACTAAAAAGGGAACATTGTTAGGTAAAAATAAAACCTGACATTGACTATGGCAAAAGTTCCTTTTGTACCCCCAATCCCAAACCCTAACTCTAACACTCACTCCCAGTTACATAATTTATTTGTATATGCCCCCTCTAGATAACTATAGATGTCCTTAGGAGGGGCATGTACAATTAAATGGGGAGTGCTGGAGGGTAGGGTTAGGGATGGAGGTACAAAAGGAATTCTTTGCCTGGCTTTCAGGTGAGTTTGTCACATGCAATATGCAATCAATATAACACCCGTGTCTGTTTACTTTCCCCATATAGACTGGAAGTACAGTGAAGGGTTTGTTAATGAAGATCTGATCAAGGAACATCTTCCACCTCCCGGTGACGATACACTTATTCTGATGTGTGGACCACCACCTATGATTACTTTTGCATGCCTACCTAATTTGGACAAACTAGGATACTCTACAAGTAGAAGATTTTCTTATTAATTTATTGTATTAATTTTAACTTGGTTAGGTCCATTTTTCGAGAAAGAACATACTGGATTTTAGATCATGCTTAGAACCTGGGTAAAAAGGCAATGTTTCAGCTTGTATGAATGCCCTTGGTCCAATTGTTGACTGTTTTAGGTAGCTTATTTTACAATTTATCCATTTTTTCCAATTTTTCAAATTAATTTTGTGAACTTGACGACTCTCCTGTTTCTCATTACAAAGAATCTATGTATTAACTTGAAAAGGTCATGTGTCCCGGTCTGTTTGGAAAAAAAAAACCTATAAAGGGGGCATTTTTCCTCTATCAAGGTCGCTGGTAATACTTGACCCTAAAGGTCACACATCCAGGCATTTTTTTTTGCCCTCAAGGTCACATCTTAATTTGCATAATCAATCCAGTAAAACTATGCTTGTTGCTACTCAAATGAAAAATGTTGTGATCAGGAGCAGGTTTTAAAAATGGATGCATTGTAAAGAGGCATTGGAAATGTAGGCTTATTAACCTTTTCACCACCATTTCCCTCTTTTCATCGCAAATTCACAAAATAGTCCCGTTTATAGTCTGCACTTTCTTTGAGAAGATTGGAAAAAAATAGCCAAAATTTTTTGAGTAAAAACTGAAAATTTACTCAAATTTTTATCTTCTGGCTTCAAAATTAGTGTTCATTTCCAGAAATAGTGAAGAATATAAGAAATCAAAGAAAGCTTAGAAAGAACTCCCGTGTGTTGAGGTTTTGGGGACACTATACTTGAGATATTGATGGAAACGCAGAAAACTAATTATGCAAATAAGGTAACTAATATGAACAGATTTAAGTGTAAAACTAAAGGTCTGCACAATGTACCAAGTTTTATTCAAATG